TTTCATTCTTGTGCTGGTGGAGCCGGAGAGGTCCTCTGCCAGCTGCAGGGAATGCTGCCCCTTCTGTAGGCTTCCTGTTGGGAGTGGTTCTTGTGGGGAAGTCTCTGCCTGGGAAGGTACCTGGAGGGGATTTGGAAGTGCTTGTGCTCATGTGGCTTCTCCTGGTTTTTTTGGAGGGCAAAGAGCTTTTGTTTTGTATGTTAAATTTATACTTGTTTTATTTACTAGCTTGGAGCTTCCTAAAATACACAGCCTGCCAGTGTGAGCAATTAAATTGTAAGTGAGAGAATACCCCTGCTTCTTTGCCATTGCCTTGGAGATTGACCTGTGAAGCCAAGCTAAGGTGCTCTGGGCACTCAAAGAGCCCCACTGTACGACTGTGTATCGTTAAGGGAATGTTCAAGTGATCACCCAACCAATTGTCATATGACCCAGGTTTTGTTTAAAATTCAGTCTTGCTGATCAGTCTTCTAAAGCCGTAAGCCTTGATGTGTGGCCTTGGTCTAAAGTAAGTGCTGGTTGACTAATCTAAGTTACTTGGGAAGTTTTATAAGAATTATCAGTGAAACAATGCCTTCTGGAAGATAAGCCCTCCCTTGTTAAGCAGTGACATAGCTCCCTGATTTTAAACCCCATCATCTTTTATACTTGGGCGCATTGCTAAGCCTCGTAATTAGTTAAATCTGCTCCTATAATCAAAAGCTATCAGCACACTCCACTGCTCTGTGACGGTTTCAAAGATTTACGTGATTAACTTGGCGGAGGCAGTGGGTGGCTAATTGGATAAGCTTTAATCTTCACACCACCAAAGCGAAACATGGTAAGATCAGAGGAAGTAGGAAGTTATGCTGTGTTGTGTGGGAAGGTAGTTACCAAACATGTCAAAAAGATTATTGTAACGAGCAGACCAGTTGTCATGACCCAACCTACAAGAATAGGGCAGATTATTAGGGGGAGGGAGAGAGTGAGCGGTGCAAATTATTTCAAATTTGCTTGCCTTGGCTTTTTTTTTTTAACAGGCAGAAATAGCTGTGCTCTTTTTAGCAAGCAAAGAGCTTTGTTCCGTTTGCTTTATTTAAGTAATTTTGTCAGATGTTGTTAACCCTAGATTTTGTGTGCTTGCTAATTGAACTGCTGAACTGGGTGAACTGTAATGATCTTTGCGTCTTCAGAAGTGTTCCATTGTGTTTAGGCTTGTGAAACTGCTGGCAGTCGTTGTGAGGTTAGAAAATACAAGAGTGTATTTAATCGCCCAAAGCAATGAAGAAAGCTAGGTAATGTGTAAAACTGTGTTTCAGGTGTGTGTATTTTTGTCTAAACAAGCCTGATTCCCTACCTCGATAAATACATGTAAGTTTTAATGGAGGTGCAAAGGACTGGAATACAGAAGAATCCCAGCTCCTCTCTTTCAGGGGTTGCCCATGATGGCCAGCTGGTCGCCGGCGCAGCGGGGCAGTCTGGGTTCTGCTCTGGAGTGATGCTTCAGCATCGTCAGGATGGTTAAGTGAGATGTTGTGATTTACAATAAGTGCTTTTTAGTCCTGTAGTGAAAAAATTCTTTTTTTTTTTTTTTTAATTCTGACAAATCCATTACCTTGAGATGAAGTTGAATGAGTATGTTAAAATTTTAAGTGAGAAGAAGTTAAGTGTTCTCGGATTTAACTGGCTGTGAATGTGGTATGAAGTGTGCAGTGCGCTGCACACAGGCGAGGGCCTGTGGATGGCCCAAAACTCACGTGGTGGAGATGAATTATTTTTCAGCACTGTTGATTCATCTCACGGCCAGGAGATGTCTCTAGTTCGCCATAATTCCTCAAGGAACTCCTAGAGACAAGTTCTGGATTTTGCTTGAACGCCCTTGCTGTAAGACTTCAGTCATCCCTCTGCGGAGCTGAACCCCGTATCGTATCGGCAGGGTGTGTTAACTCCTCCTAGCTCCACTGGTACTTGTGCAGAGTTAACTCCTTTTGATACAGGGTTTTGACCACAAAATGATTTCGAACATATGTGTGTACCATACAGCGTTTCAGTGTATCTCACAGAGAAGGGACCTGGACTCAATTTAAAAAAAGAAAAAAAATTAAAAAAAATTTAGGTCTTCATGTAATTAAAAAATTGTGAGAATTTGAGAGATCCTAAAAATGCTCTCTGTTCTTGTTTTGTTTGTGGAAGTGCTTTGGAAAGAACAGGGCAAAGGTAAAATGAGAGTAAAATATGGACTTTAAAAAAAAAAGCAAAGCAGAAAGCGAAAACTCTTCCTTCTGTACTGCTCTTGAGGAACCGATCTTATGATGACTCTTACCCCAAATCCGAGTTGCAGTTTTGGGTTCAGGTGGCTCACAGTCTGTCATATAATGTTTTTCTTGTAGGAGAAACCAATGAAAAGCTGAAAGGCGGAAACCAGAAATCTGGTATTGAGAAAAATATTCAAGTGGCATTTCATTTACTACTTGAATTTATGTGCCCTGGACATGAAAAACTTGTTTTCCGTTGTAACCAGGGAAGAGTCTATAACGTGAACAACCTCAAGTCATCATTCCTTTAAAAAGAAATTCATAACTTGACTACTCTTTCATTTAAGAGTGTGTGTGCCAGGCTTCTTGTTCATGTTGATGCCAGACTAGGAAATGCAGGAGAGTAACTGTGTAACTTCCATCTGCAGTTTTTGAAATGCAGAAATGTTCCCTTCTAGGTTTGGTCAGGATTGCAGAGAATTAGTAGTCTCATCTGATTTGCATCTGTATTAATGCGTTGATCCTTTTACTGTTGGAGGCTTTCAGACTGTACCTCGGAGTTTTTATAAGTTTGCATTTTGATCACATAGCGAATAGATGAATAATATGTGTATTCCCAGTAACCCTGTTCGTTTTTGTAGCCATTTTGAATGCTGTGTTCTACATGCAAACAATATGTACTGGGAATGTATTGTACGATGTATGGTATACATTTCACCATGTAGCTTAATTGTTCACTGCAAAATTAATTCTCTCCCTGCTTTACCACTTCTAGGCAGTGCTGTGGAGCCTGCGGGATGTACTTGTTACTGGAGATCGTCGGATCTTTTTGGCTAACTTCTATGATTGCAGAGAATCACATGGAGTGCAACAAATACATACACTGCGGTCTCCGTCAGCCAGTCTTGCAAGCTCAAATTATACGATGAGTGGGTTTTGTGTTGAAAATTATTTACTGAAGTTATTTTCAGATCTAGCCTAATGACGGGAGGAGTCAAACGAGGTGTAACCAACCCGTGGCTCTTGGAAGAATCTGAGGAAACCAGAGGGCTTGGCTTTGACGATCTCAGGCAGCAGCAGCGAAGGATCATAGAAGGTACAAGAGTCTTTCTGTTTTTTTTTTTATAAGCATCGCTAGGATTCTGAGAGGAGCCCTTGTTAGAAAGTCAATACAATAACCTGTGCTGAAGTTCTATTATCTGGAGATGTCAAACATAATAGTTCCAGGTGGTTGTTTTATGTATTTGCAGGAGCAGTATTGTGCTTGCAATATTCTTAACTGGAAGCATTTTCTCAAATCAAATTTTTCAAAGACCTTACAGGGCATCCCTGATTGTGACATATTCATGGTTTTTGTTTGCAGTGGAGATCTCATTAATTGCACTGAGTGTAGTGGTATCGCTGCTGTGCATCAGGCTGGGGTGCATTAGATATATTTTTGAATTGGAACGAGGTAAGAATTAACTAGTCTATAAAAAGGGTCTTCAGATTTTGGCTCTCAGCATCTGTAAGGAACCTCTAACTCTGGAAGTGTTAGAGAACCTCAGCCTGAGGACATCAGGTGGTTAATGAGGTAATTTCTGTGCAGTTAAAGTATTAGAAGTGATCAAATGAAATCAGTCTCCAGATAAGGCCCGCTTCAGTCTGCACGTGAAACAACATTTACAGCTACAGTTCAGGAGGATGGCATGAACTCTATTTGTATGGTCCAGGAGAAACCTCAGGCTCCAGTTTTTGATGACGCCATAGGTTTCCCTTGGGGAGGCTGAAAGAGGTATTGGGGGCTGGACCTTCATCCTGTTGAAGGGAAGGGGGTTCTGACCATCCTGTACAATTTTTGGCTCCCGGACTGCAGCCGGCTGGCAGTCTTGCTCTCTGCAACGTCGCTGCTTTGCAGTTTGTCAGACCACTGGCAGTCCAGCCTCCAGCATCTCTTCTTGATGACTTTGGGCAAGGAGAGCTGCACATTTTGGTTAAGGTGCTTACTAAGGACTGCGTGGTACCCGCAAACTGGAATAGCAGAGGTGATATGGCTCTTAATAAAGGAATTTCTGCAGAGCTGACGGGAACATGTCAAACTTTAGCTGCCCCCGTCGTGTCCCCTCAGTCTCAGGCTCTCTTCCATGCACTTTGTATCCTCTTGCACCTTTAAAAATCTATTTGAATTCTTTGGTGTTTGCATCACCTGTTTGTCTTTTCTTCATGTGAAGTTTCTTGGAAAATTTAAAAAGGCTAATCAGGGATCTCTATGTGTGTGCCAGAAAATCTCCTGCATTTATGATTGAGTAACAGCTCAATGTTGAATTCTTGGATTTTTTTTTTTTGGGACCCTCAGCTAAATGTCCCAGCCAGAGCAGACAAATTAATTACCCATCATTCACATTATTTTAAGAGTGCTGTTGCCATAAGGATTCATTTTCATGTTGTGTTGATGTATTTTTCTTAATACGTTTTAACTCTTTAAGCACAGAGTAGATCTTTTTCTTCACTTCTGCATCTTTTATGGTACATAGCCTGGCATATCAGCAATTTTTTAAATGTAATTTGATATTTTTTTCTGGTGCAGAGCAAGATGCTGGACTTGATGCTCTTTCTTCAATCATCTCCCGGCAAAAGCAAATGGGGCAGGAAATTGGGAATGAGCTGGATGAACAGAACGGTAAGAACAAGATTCATAGACACTCTTTTTTGCCTCATTTTTGTATGAGGGTGATTTTTTTTTTTTTCACTCCTCATACAACTGCACTGCTTTTTGCCCGCAAAGCAACAAGACAATACTGTAAAGGTTTATGTATGAACAACCACTACAGATTCTGTCCGTTCATGACCTGGTTGATTTATTGTGTTTCACTACATTCCCTGCTGTGCGTATACAATGTATAACACTTGGTATATTTTTATCGAGCCTGCCTTTTGAAAGAAAAGATTGGTGATTATTTGTACATAGTAAAAAATTAATTTTGTACCCGATCTTTTGCGTTTTTTGGTTTTATGACAGTTTTTATGGTAAGCTTTTATGTGTTGCTGGGTTTCACTTGAGCATTCTTATTCTGTGTCTTTCCTTATTAATTAAATGGAAAAGTCTTGAGCCAGTGATTGAGGGAGAAGCGTTGTATTGTTTGCTATAAATGATTTGGATTTTGAAGGTTTCATGGCATTGAATGTAGGATCAAATTAAGTGCAACATTGAACTAGAGGAGCACCTATTTTCTTTAAAATGAGCCGGTATCCAAATGGTGGAATTGCTCTCCTGTTAAATATGCTTTGTTAGTCACTTAATTGTTCTCATGACATAAACTGTCCCTAGGAGAGCAGATCCTCCAGTCTTTCTGACTTTTTCATTTCTTGCAATACGGTAATAGTTCAATTAGAGCCGTGGAACCCTGCCAGCTTTCTCCCTTGCACAAAGAGTTGAGCCATATGGTTTATCCTTGGGTTGTGTTGTACTTAACCACTGAGAAGGTAAATGTCCTTTTACTTGCTCATAGATGATACACTTAAATCGGCTTCTTCCTGGACCTGTGTTTTTTTCCCCTTGTATTTCTCTGCATGTCTGCTCAGAGTGAAGGGGGTTCCCGTATTAACAATCACGTAACATGAAGTACTACTTGGGCTCTCCGTTCCAACTGAGAGTGAAGTAAGAGGACGGCTTTCTCGTGTTTGCCTTGCATACATGGCTAAATCCAGGAGGGATATGAAATGTCTAGAATATGTCTTTGTTTATTAATCTTAAGATTGTTAAGAAATGGTTTGTGCAGCTGGGAGAAACTATGCTTAGTGGCCTTGTCATATTTTGATCCTCTGCCTCATGTGAGTAAAGACATCTTCAATTAGAAATCTCAGTTTCCTAAGTTTCTTCTATTAACTGTTGTTTAAAAAGTCATTAATTGCTCTTTTTGCTCTAAATAGAAAACAGGTGGGAGGCATGAGCATGTTTACTAATTCTCTGTGAAACTTTGGTTTCTCATCAGGAAAATATATGATCTGTGTCCCATTTCCCTCTGCTGGGGGTAGGGGAAGGTTCCCCAAATCCTTATGGTTTTGGGACCTTGAAGGTAATGTGTATTGTACCATTGCACTTCTGCGTGACCATGCCAGACTTTTTCTAGCAATGAAGCCTTGAAACATCTGTGAAATTGGGAATGCATTTAACCCTCCTTTTTACAAATAGTGCAAATAATGCCAGTTTTGTTTGTCTTACAGATAGTTACAAAGCCTAGAGCAAAATTCTTAATGTTTTCATGTGAGCTCTGTTTTGAGCCACAGGCAACTCCTTCTCAAGCGATGGAAACTTTCCCGAGCGCTCAGAGTAAAAAGTGGTGAGGATTGCCTGCTGCTGACTGCGGGCCAGATCCTGGGGGAAGAGAAAACGCCGAGCTGCCTCTGCTTCTCACTGTCCTAGAATCACGAGAATAAAACCTGCCAGCCATGTAGAGTGCGTCATTTGGAGATCTTTAAGCAGTCTGAAGAAGGTGGGAAATAGTCTGACTCTTACACACGGGGGACCAGATCACTCAGTACTTGGCTTCATCACTACCGAGCAAGTGGAACTCCTGTGTTTTCTCTGACTTTATGCAATCCCCCCCTTTTTTTTTTTAATGCAGATAGGGGATATGGTCAGGCATTTCATTGTCACTGGCACACTGGAAAATCTGAAATCCCTAGCAATATTTTCCAGGGGCTACTTTCCCTTTACGCATCTTATTTTATGCCCTATGCTTAACTATCTACAGGCTTCCCGGGCGCTCTGCCAATCTCCTGTCACAGTTGCACGGTCAGGTTGATGAGGATAACTGCCCTGTAATTTCCCCTTATCGGAATCTCTTTCCTTCCTAGTGCTGAGTGATAATGCCATCGTCTGTGTTGTGGGGAGGCAGGGGAAGTTCATCTTCATTAAGTGCTGCATCAATATTTCTTTTTATTCAAGTCAAATTTTCCATCACATTGCCTGTTTCCCTGGGAAGCTTGACTTCCACTTCCCTGACCTGCTTTGGACGTTCCCACCTTCTGCGACTAATTAGGTGCCTTTAACTTGTTCTGGCGTTATGATAAAATATGGCTTACTTCAGAAGTAGCTGATAATGTCTGATAGTTAATGAAGCAGGCTTTAGGGAGCTGGGTAACTGTACTTACTTTCCAGACAACTTGTTATTCAGGCCTGCTTTTTTCCTTCCCTAGCAGCTCAGGCTCTCTGTTCAGTTGAGGTATTTGCACTTCCCAGCTCTTTGAGGTGGCCCGAGGCATTTTCCCTTGAGTGCCAGTTGGTGTAGCTGTGCATTTGCAGATGCACAAGTATTGGAGGCATCCTGATTAATTATGCAAAGTTTACTTCTCGGGTAGAGTTGGTACGTGTAAATTCTTTTGTGTTTGTTAAATGACTGAAAAATGATTAAACTTTGCTTTTAGAAGGGTAGTTACTTGGCACTATCTATTTTTACTTCACTGGTGGGCTGACAGGCAGTGCCGAGGAGTAACGTTCGAGGTTTGTAAGAGGGCGTCCTGCCGACGGGCCCGGCTGCGGTGGTTGCAGCGCTCTCCAGAAGAGTCGGCCCTTCTCCTCGGGCAGGCTGGGTGACTCCAGCCTCGCTTAGCTCTGCGTCCCTGCAGCGCCCGTCTGTCGGCCGATCTCCCCGAGCTTCCTCCGTAGTCAGCAGACACCAGCAGGGATTGCTCAGGTGTGACCCCTCCAGCCTGCCTGACAGGTCCACCTCGGGGCAGGGCACGGCGTGTCCTGGAAAAGCCCATTTTTTTCCCCACTAATCGTAAAGTGAGCCTCGGCTTGGATGGAGGTGGCTGCTTGGCAGACATCTGCCCCGAGCAGATGAGTCCCATCCTTTGATTTGGTTGCAATGCGTCCAAGTTTTAATTGGAGTCTCATGTCGTTCTTTACTCAAATTTTCAGTATAGCTCTGTCCTTGAGATTTTATGGCTCTGCTCAAAGCTGAGTGTTCTTCTCAAACCTCCTGAGCGTAGTATTTTGCACTGATGAGCAAAGTAGAAGCAGGGTACCAGGAGACATTGTTTTTTTCCAGCCTCAGGAGTCTGCAAGCAGTGGGAGAGATGGGGGATTAGCAAAAGAATTTTCCCATCATTAATTCCAAATTTGGCCCCAGAAAACTTTCTGTAATCCTTTCATCTGTTACATAAAAAAAAAAAAGAAAGAAAGAAAATAGTGTAAATGGCCTCTGGCCCTGTTGATGAGGCAATCTAATCTAGTGCAATAATTTTGGAGGAATGCTTTCAGAAATTCTGAATGCTGTTTGTTTTACCCTTATAGAGATGTTGTTTTCTCATTGTGGCATGCTTGCATGAGAATATAGTACTCTGTGACGGATGGTAAATATCGGTAGCTTGCAAAATTTGTAGTGTTTGGCATTTTTACCGTGTTGCTCTCCATTTGGTATACACCATCAAGGATGGATTCTTTTGCTTCCGGCTACTTTAAAATTTATGTCAGAGCATAAATACATTCATAAATAGATAAGCTGCAAAACCAGACTACTGTTTACGTCCTTTTACTGGTCAAGAGAATGCTGTATACAGAGTGACTATCCAGGATGTTCTTAACCAAAATGGCTCATTTTAAGTAAATGATCTGTCATAATGATGCTTTAATTACATGTTTATGTAACGCTTTTAATTTCCTGTCAAAATCAAATTTCTAAAACCGACTAAAAATTGAAGCATTATGTATTTTATTTTAATTGCTTTGCAGATAAAGGTTGCTGTGTCACCTCTGGTCATAGCGGGTGGCACACAAGCCTCTGAGGTGAGCTCAGCTCCTCAGCTTTTCATTTGGTGCCAGTTCAATGGTCAAAGCCTGTGACTTGCCTGGTACATGATTTTTGTTAACCTGACACGCTCCCATCAAAATGCAATTTAGAGACTCCACCTGAGACTGGAGCCCTGTTCTAGCTATTGCTCTATACATGCATAGAGAAATATTCCTGTAAAATCAGAGAAAGTGAGTGAAAGTATTCTTGATGATGCAGAGACTTGTTGAAAATAACATCAGAAATTACAGTGCAGCAGGGATGTGATTCATCTCTCCCAGGGCAATGTTTAACCACAAGCCCATCTCTTCTGGTGCAGACAGCCCAGTAGGTATATGTGCAGTAAAATGCTTCTAAAGATTGTTTTACATGGCTATTGCATAATCAAAAAGGAACCCTGAAGTCGTTTCATATTTCTGTTTATTAAGAACATTTTTGCTGTAATACAAACTAATTAGCATTGTACACGGAATATGTTTGAGTTATGAGACTAAAACCAATGGGGCTGTGGATATATTACCTCATTGTTAGGATTAGTTTGTAAATAAGAAATGATTAAAGATCAAAATTTAAATTTTAAAAAATGTTCATCATCTTGTTTAAACAATATATGTTTTCATCATATAAAATTACAATCCTGCACGCTTTGACCCCCTTCTGAGATGGCTCAAGTCCTCTGGTTGCTGGGATTTGAAGGTGTTCAGCGTTCCTTGAGAAACGCTCAGCACCAGCAGGTTCAAGTTTTCTGAAAACCTCTGCAGAGAAGCATGTGCCTTTAATATTCAGATGTAAAATAACTGTCCATAGCCTGACTGACCTCATACTATGCAGATTTTTATTTTGCTTCCTGAGTTTATTGTACGGAATAGAAATGACTTCAGTTTTA